ATCCGGCCGGATTTCCTCACTCAGTGGTTTGATGACGTGGTTTTTGAAGTCGGAGTTTTCTGCAGCGTGCATTCCATTTTAATGAATGGTCTGAGCAAATAGCAACTAAATAGTACCATGTGAAAGAAATGCTGACGAGGTTTTGTTTGAATGGTTACACCATGGCGACACCATTCTTACCCTGCAGGGTCTGACTCAAAAGTTAGAGCTGCATGCTAAAATAAATAGAACTATGTGAAAGTCGCTAAAGAGCTTTTTCAGTTGAATTGTAACACTATAGGATTTCACCCACAGAGTCAAATGTTCGAACTACATACTAAATAGATAGTACCATTTGAAAATACTGTTGAAGAGGCTTCATTTGAATGGTCACTCCATAGGATTTCATCCACAAACTCAAAAGTTAGAACTACATACTAAATAATATAAATAGTACCATGTGAAAATACTGCTGCTGTTTCAAATATTTTGCAAAGAAATGTTTTAACGCTTTTTTATACAGATGTCTCGCCTGCAAGCATCAAGAGTTGTGAACTACGAGCTTCCTGCTCAAGTGAGTGTCAATACTCCACTCGGAAGACAGTGAATCCAAACTCTAACGCAACTGTAGGGTGCTCGATCATGAATAAAGGACCAACACAAGACTTGACCCGGGAACAAGTTAGAAAAGGATCAACACAAGACTTCACCTGGGAACAAGTTAGACGAGAGATTCATGGCAGTAACAATGTGTATGATCTGGTGCTACAGCAGCTAGAGAATCCACATTGTTCGTGCACTCATATAACCCTCGCACGTAAGTACAACTTTCTCTAGAGTTTTGTCTTTATTTCGTGAATAAAATTTACAGGAATCTCATCATCTGCCATCTTTTGTATTCTTAATGCGATAGAAACAGCAGACTCACGTACCTTGACCGGTTTTAACCTGTTCGTCATGTTCTAGTCTAATTTAACCGGTTTTAGTTTATTTTTAGGTGGATGATGTCATAGTTTTTATTAATTATGTGCGTCATATCGTTATGTGGGTATAATGTCACAGGTTATTTGTACGGGTCGTATCCTTATTTGGGTATGATGCTGTCTGAGCTGCGTTTTGATTGGTGGAAATCTCTCAGGAAGCAATTTGGTTGTGTTGGTATTTGGTCGTAGTTAGCTCAGGGTCTGAGCTTGACGATGAGTCCAACCAAGACGGCAAGTCTCCTATGAAAATTCTCACCGCTGGGGATATTCTGGGTCTTTTTGAGGAATGTTTTCAAAAATTCGGCTACATGTACATTATATGCGATCAAAAGACTGCGATGGTTCACGATTTTTCCGTGGAGCGTTCATGGGCGGAAATAGTTTTGTTTTCAATCCAGAAGCTAATTCCTTGTTGTTTCGCGAATTCTGGCCTTGACTAAAACAACATCATTGTATGATGACTCGGAAATTAAGGAAATCAAATAATTCATTAACGTTTATTACTGATCATGACGAAAATAGTTTCAATCAGCAACAACAATAAGCTTTATTTTCAGTACTATAACAAAGTATTACAGTATTGCAAAAGCTACTTGAATTTAATCATTGATTTCTTTTTTAAATTAAATATTTAAAATATTAACTTTAAATATAATAATCATTGCTTATTTTCAACCATCAGTAGGATTGATTATTCCGATCATTTGCTGATAAGACTGAGTGTCAAATCAGCCACTGCCAAGCTATCTTTTCAGAGACCCATTACTTTACCAAAGAACAATAACCAGCCAAAAAAACATAACGAATCCTATGAATGCCTCGTAACAGGTTTAGGTAGATCCAAGCTTAGCTGAGGCAATTTTTACGGTTGGATTGATCGTAAAAACACGGTTGAAGTTATAACCAGCTAAATCACCTCACTTGATCATGGTCCGCCCGCTAAACTCTAGTTGCCATGCCATGCTGGAGGGCAAGCAAAGCAAAGGGACATGACAAACAACAAACAAAGGAATCATTTTAAAAGATGTTAGCTTTTTGTTTGGCTTGACTCAGTGCGTAGGGCCTCGCTCTCCAGCATGGCAGGTTTGTGCCACAAAAGTGACTTACTGCAAAGGGCCTATTTTTAAAATGAACAAGGCATGGAGTAAAACATGGTTGGTTGGAAGGTGTCGGTAAGACAGATGACTGTAGTTATCTTAAAAATCGTGAGCCAAGCAACGACGACGGCAGTGAAAATGTCGCTAAAAAATTAAATTTGCCATATTTCAAATGTTATCGCGTCTATTTGGAGCTGCTTAATTTGTCAAATGACTTTATTCAGGATCAGAAAGAAAAAGGAGAATTCGTCGTCATATGTTCACTTTCTCTATAAAACGTTGTATTACTAGGTTTCACTTCATAGTCGTGCGGTCAACGTCAAAGAATAGACTAAGAAGCGTGACGCATGTGCAGCAACTGTTGTTTTCATGTTAAAACCAATTGGTGGTCGTGGTGGTTCAGATTTTGATATTTTTTTGTACTAATTTAAGAGGTTGCTTTAAAAATTACAAATATATCACAAAAACAACGAGAAGAAAACCAGCAAATTACATAAATCCTGATCAAAGGTGAAATCTGCGCAGTGGCCAAAGGAGCTTAGGCTTTCGAGTTAGTCACTTAAGCTCCCTAGTTTAAATGACTGGGTGCATGACTTACGAGCTTTGAAATTAAGACGAAGAATTCCTTCTCAGTTCCAGTTAAGAGAGTATCTAAGACAAGTTCTCCCGTTGACTACTATCCTGACACGAGAGAAATGGAACTGAAGTGTACCTTCAAGGGATGGCCTCGTCCTCGTGTAGTTTGGTACAATCCAAGTAACAAACAAATCATCAACGGATCTGAAGGTTTTTACATCTCAGAGCAGCTGGATCGAGAGGATACCTTAATTTCCCTTCTCCGTAATGCTGATATCCAAGAAAAACACCGAGGGGCTTATAAATGCACTGGAATGAACAAAATTACCAACTGGTCGAGTAAAAAATCAGGGTATATTGACCTGAATTATCGCTGTGAGTCATTTAATTTCTTATTTCTAATACAACACACGGATTCGCAAAACTACCTCCTTTGAAGCAGGTTCATAAAAAACATAATACCATGTTTCCCCTGTAAGCAATGGAAAGTATCCCATTAAGACTAAGAGGGACAGCTCATTGTCTCTTGATTTAGACGGAATTAAATATTGGGTGTTTCATATTTAAAATAACAGATTAACTTATTCCTAACTGCAATTAAAAAAATACAACTGAAAATTTCGTGCCACCTTCCTCCTCCATTCAGAATAAATGGACGCTGGAATTTTTGTTTGTTTACCCCTCGGGTACAAGGGATAAGTAAATAAGTAAATAAATAAATAACGATTTAGTGACGCTAGCTCATCCACAAAGTGGTTCTTTGTCTGCCATTCTGGCTCAAATTTACCCTGCGCAACTGGCGGGATTAACGTGGGAGTGATGTGTTGTTTTGGTGGCAATGGCGGAATAAGGGTGAGAAGCAACAAAACTAAACCTGGCCGGCCACATATGATGTTGCCTGAAGATCAAGCACAGGACAGTCATTAATTTAACGAAGTCCTCGGTATAATTCACAATTATTCCACTTATTCCACGAGTGACGCGTAGCACCGAGTTGGCTTTAATCATCTCATATCCAAGAACGAAGTGCGTGTGGAATAATTATTCAATTAAAAACGAACACAAAATATGGAGAATACTTCCCGACTTTATTTGTAAACCAAACCATTTTCATCTTGTTTTTAATTTTGAGCAGACGCGTACAGTTACCATATTATAGAGCATGGTATAACGGCTCATATACCATGATGGCTAAGCCAATCAGAGCTCTAGAATTGCATTATTCAATGATTCAATTTTTAATAATAAGCGATATTCTCCTCCCCAGAAAAAATACTGTCAAGCCCCGCAAATCCCGACACTGAAGGGGCCGTACTAAGAAAGTGCCTGTATTAACGGGGTGACCTTATTAAGCGGGTAGAAAATGTAAGGGCTTTCTTTCCCCAGGGACAAAGCAAACCGTCCGTAACAATGAGGTGTCTGTATTGAGCGGGTTTCCAGACTGGAGCGGGATTTGACTGTACAATAAATAAAAGGAACTTCGATATAACAAAACCTCTTTATGGCGAGCATATTTTGCCAGTCCTTCAGGTCTTCGTTCAGCTGTTCGTTACATCAAGATTCCAATGTAAACTGTTGTGTGATTGTTAAATGAGAAAAGGAGACGCCGAATAGCTATTGAAGTCAACACTTAGTCAGAGGCACCCAAAGTCAATTTTCGGAAAATATCTGTTGGGAAGACTAGACGATTTAAGATCTAGAATTTTCGGAACATCTTTTGTAAAATTTCTTGCTAGCCTGCTTCTCCTAGGATTTTCGAACATCTTAAAATGGGTAAAAATGCCCATTTTTAACGGATTTTTGCACTAAAAAGGTCACCTAGAATTTTCGGGAGCCTTTTTTCTGGCTGAAATTTTCGAAAAGGTAAGTTTTGATCCCTACAATTTTCGGATCACTAGACTTTCAGCTAGGAAGTCCGAACAGATGAAAAATTTTTAGGGGATAAAAATATGCCTATATCTACCGTTTAAATACGAAAATACATTTAACAACGCTATGTTTAAGCGGTTTTGAACTATATTCTCGTTGGGTGCCCCTGCTTAGTAGCACAGGCCATATTGGTGGGAGGTAAGAGAAGTGGAGTTCATCCGATCAACCGATCGTTAGAGCATCGCTAAAGTCGGCCTGACGAGACAAGTCGCAAAAGGGGGAACCAGTGGGATAAACAAAATCAACACGTAAAAACTCCAAAGCGTTTTGATGCCCTATATATTGTCACAAATACTCAGGAGGGGAGGGTAAGAGTAAGAAGGTTACCCCTTACGGTTGCACAAAAAATGGTAACCATTTTCAAATAACATTTACTCATCATATCTTCTTATCATCTAATACAGGTATCATCCAGGCTCCGCAGATTTCTTCTCCCGAGGTTCCGGTGACAGCCTACTCCAATGCCACTTTAGAGTGCGAAGTAGGTGTTAGGCCAAGCGACTGTTGGGACAATTCTTTACGTTGGTATTTTAATAACAACTCAGCGAAATTAGAATCTGGTGAAAAGTATAATATACAAGAAAGGAAAACCAACACCAGATGCAAAACAGATTTCATTCTCACCATTATTAACGTTACTGAAGCAGACGAAGGAAAGTATAAATGTCAGTGGCTCTGCGACCGTGACTACCCCAACTTTTCCAGGTCTTCAATTATCCAGCTGAAAGTATTTCCTCCTTCAGAAGAAGGCACTGATACTCCTCTGATATCTAAAGGTATTGTGTCACGAAATTTATCAAAATTCAAAAAGTGGAAAACGGCACCAGATTGAGTCAAACATTAAAATAACCGCTCAAAACCCCGGTACTTGGGTACTAAAAAGTTTTGCTGGGTACGTGCCGCTGGCCTCTCAGAGCCTATACCCCATTATAGTCTATTCTGTGGCCAATTATAGATCCCATCTTAGTCACTTTTGGGCAAATATGTAATTTTCGCGATCCCAACTTAGTCACTTTTTACTTTTATGAATTGACCCATTTTTCAGATGGAATGAAGAACACTTTACTTTTCATCTGCAGTACAAACATTCTGGTACGTTTGCTAACCGTAAATGTAGAGAACTGTCTTACCCCCCAAAAATCGGAAAATGTGCTACCCCATTTTATTCAATCCAGTCTTGAAAATGGGACCCCATCCAGCGGCACATCCCCATTAGCCTCTTATAAGGAAGTACTCCCCCCACCCCCCCTCGGGCTCAAAACAGTAACACAGCGATTGCAAAAGGAGTCATGTCATGTGAGGACAAGCTTGAATAGTTGGAACTGATAGCAACTGATTTTTTTCATTAGAAAACGGAGAATCCAATCAGAAGAATAACTCGCAATTATATAGCAGTAATTTTATTCGATCTGAAATCAAATTGTACAAATATATTTTATTTAATAAGTGTAATCAAATAATTGATTCACGAAACTAGAAAAAGCGGAATGAATACAGATAAAAGCTAAAAGTTGATACAAGCGAAGTCACGTGGTTCTTGAAGGAAACAAACTCAATTTAAGCTACTTCAATTCTGTTTAAAAGGTAACGAAAGAAAGACTAAATTAACAAAACGAAGGTAACATAAGTTCACTTACTTCTATAGTGAGTTTTCTTAAATGTCCTCGAATAAGCATTAAATCGGTCCGGGTAGCAGGTAAACTGTCAACACTTTGATCCTTGCAGTGCGGCGGTCGGTAAAAAACTTATAAAAACTCGAACAAAGCGGGTACTTTTGTGCTTCCTGTTCGGCGTTTACATTTTCCTATTTTTTCCAGCAAGATTAAATATAAAAATTCCTTGAATAGTTCTTTTACTACGTTAACATTGAGGTTTTTGAAAGCTCAAATAGCCTAAAAGTTTTTCAAAAAATTTTTTTTTTTGCATTTAACTTTTCATATGATGTCTGGGGAACAAATGTGTTTGACATGAAGCAGTGATTTTGTCATTTGCAAGTGATTTCTTAACTTACGCTGAGTTCCATTGAGAATACCGTAAGGACATATTTGGCAATATTATCAAAATAAACCAGCAAACCATGACGTCATAGCCCATTTGTTTCGGTGAGAGGCTACTCCCTTTGTAAGCGAATTGTTTAAAACCGTTTGGGTCTGAAACAGGGAAAGGTTTTGCGCCGTTTAGATGCAGGGTCTGAAATTACATGTTCGTGCATGAGTTTTTGATATTTTTGTTGTTGCTATTGTTTTAAATCATCTGCCTTCAGTTCTGTGAATAAGGTAGGAAAAGTCGTACTCTACCAAAACAGGTGGACAGCGAATTCCATAAATACGTGCACTTGAAATTTCCTTTTAAAAGGAAAGGGAAATTGGAGGGTAAAGCTTACTTCTGTTTTCGAAATAATTATAGTGTAAATTATAGCTGAAATTTCTATTCGCGTGGGGTTATTTATTGCTAGGTGCCAGACAGCAACTCTGTCACGATACCCATCAAAGGGACGGCGAATCGTAACACCCTCCTTTATCTGCATAATCGTTTCACATGATACAATAGCAGAATCAGAATCCAGCATTGCATCTGGGTTGAGTAATGTGTTAGGTCCCAGACCTCTTATATTTTAGGGCAGGTTTTGCACATGCGCAGTTGCATTAAAAGAATGACTAGCAAATGGTTCGTTTCGTGTTCTTGTTTAAGACCAGAATATTACAATTTTGGCGACGAGGATGGCGCTTGTAATGTAGGTCAAGTTGGAGAGTATGTGGACGGTAAAGAAGATATTGCAAGTTATATTGAAAGAGTGGAATTGTATTTTGCGGCGAATTATGTCAAGGCGGATTACAAAGTTGCTACGTTTCTAGCGTTAATCGTAGCAGATGCATATGGCGTGCCGCGAAAATTGTTAGCCCCTGAACGTCCAAAATATAAGTCTTTGTGCAATAGTATGAAAAGCTGACTGAACGATTTGGAAACCTAGCTCTAATTTCAAAGTCACTGATCAATAAGTTCCTGGAGATATCAGCAGATCAGGATGAAAACAATTTGACAGCTCGCGCAACATATATTGTGAGAACATTTATGGAGCAGGCTTTAGACCAGCAACTAATATGCAGCAGGTTGTTACAAAGCTATCTCCAAAAACTGTAGTAAGGTGAAGCAGGCAAAAGTCAAAGCTACAGCCCAAATAAGTTGACCTTAGCGACCTGGTGGCTGAAGGTTGACGTTAGCGACCAGTGTCTGAAACGGACAGTCAAGTCGAAGTGATAGCCTTTGGTTGCTCTAGTAATATAGAGAATCCTTAACAAGAGAAACGCAAGACAAATTCAAACAAATCGAAGTGGCTCAGGAGAAAGAACACGCGACCGCAATTTATGCAATTGACCTGCTCCCAACGTCAGGGGCTTCATAGCTCAGTTGGTAGAGCATCGCATCCGTAATCGCGAGGTCATAGGTTCACACCCCGTTGAAGTCCTGTATTTTTTTTTTTTTCAAGCTTCTTTACGCAATTGCGTAAATAGCGTTCACTGCGACGATCATTTCTTCATTTTCATTTCATTTCCGCAGTTCATTTATGATTCGTTTCATACATCATTAACACTCATTTCTTTCACGGGAACATATGAACCCACAATTGAACTGCTCCCAACGTCAGTGGCTTCATAGCTCAGTTGGTAGAGCATCGCAATGGTAATCGCGAGGTCACGGGTTCAAACCCCGTTGAAGTCCTGAATTTTTCTCTTTTTTTCAGGCTTCTTTACGCAATTGCATAAATTGCGTTCACTGCGACGATCATTTCTTCATTTTCACAAATCACTTTGGGGGAATTTTTGAGAGGCTCAGTCTAAAAACAAGAAAGCTGCATTAAGTGAACGCTTGAATCAAGCCAGCTTATTAGCAGAAAGATGCACGATTACAGAAATTTGCCTACAATTCATTTCTGTGCTGACGTATTTCTCTTTACAAATTTCCCTATTCATTTCCAAATTCTTTCTCCGGCTGTTAAAGTGAATTGCATGTTAAAAGTGCAAGAGGAAAAAAGGAAATTACACCTTCTGATAACATCTTTCCTTATAGTTAGAAGAATTCTTGAAACTGAGAGTGTTTTGATCAAAGCAGCGTAAATCGATTTGAATCAGTGCATGGAATCTTGCGTTTTCTGTTTTTATCTCTCCAATATGATATCAATACGAATCTGTAAATTTCAAAGAGCTACACAAGAGTCATACAAAGGCAAAAAATACAACTGACCAAAAACGAAAAAAGAAAAAGGGACGTTGTAATGTCAACTACATTAAAACACCAGCATATATAATTATAAGAACCAACAGCGGGGCACATGTTTACCTATCGTATTTGTTTTTCTTTTCATTTGAAATTTCCTTTTTTTATATTGATGAAAGTGATATGTTGAAGACGTTTCCCCTTTACCAACTTTATTTGCAGATTCCTCGACACCATCGTCACAAAAGACCACTAGCTCAACTTCAACAGGTCAGTGATGTTAAGGGGTGGTCACTAAGTATAGTGTTGAAATGGGACTAATTGCAGTGGCGGATTCAGACCTTCAGATAAGAGGGGGGGAGGGGCGGTCATCCAGACCCTGAGATAAGGGGGGCGGTCTTAAAAACATTTTTTTTTTACCTTTCGGGTCTCAGTTTGGTCCAAAACTAACGGGGAGGCCCGGGCCCCTTCCCTGGATCCGGCTCTAAATTGCCAACCAAATCTAAAAATAGTATCCAGATCTTATCCCTTTTCAAATAATACGAAACAGTGGAAGAAAACAGAACCACCCTGAGTCGGCCCTGAGTCGCTAGACTGTTATGGCAATTCAAAAGTAATTACCGGGTGTCGGTAAAACGCGGGGTCGCGGCCGGGGTCGGGGTCTATCTCTTTGTTTATAAAATATGGTTTTAAGGTTAGAATTAGGGTTATGTGAGGGTTAGGGTTAGTGTCAACCCGAACCCTAACCCTAACCCTAAAACAGCATTCTTTAAAAAAAAGATAGACCCGGATCCCGGACGCGACCCCGCGTTTTTCTGACACCCGTAATTACCCGTAATTAATTGTTGCATCGTGCTCCAGTCTAAAGACTACATTTTCACAAATTAACAAAATATAGTGTACAATCCCGGGTAGGCCCACAGGTAACCCAGGCTCTGTGATAGTACCACAGTACTGTTTCATTAAAATTCCAGGGGCGGGGGACTCCGCATATGAAAGGGGTGGGGATGCTCGTCAGAGATTTTGAAGTAAACCCCTAAAGGAGACCGGTCTGGGCGTGGCCCAAGCTTTTTTTGATCCCTAAAAGAGGCCATGTTAAAACACAGACAAATGAGAAAACTTGGATTATATGAATGGAGTAAATAAAACGAATTAAAAATATACATATCAAATATATATTTTTATATTTTTTCGCGTGCAACCCTAAACGAGACCTTCACGGCTAAATATGATGGCAAACTTCAGTCACGTGTGCGGGGTTTGCTCTGGCGAATTGTGATTGGCTAGGAAGAACAATTGCCTTCTATCAAGTATTTTTCCAGCAGGGGAGGATGGCTTTGGGCAAATGGTGTATCGGTCTCTAGAAAGGTCACCCCAGGACTCCCGGGATGGATTTTTTTGTCATAATTTGCTAACTAACTAGAGGACTCAGTTATGACTAACGGAACTAACCGGTTTACTGTACACAAAATCTCAGAAATCTCTGGCACATAAACTGACTCTTGCAATGACTTATTTTTTTCAGATGCTGCTGCTGCCTAGATAAACGCTGTTTGGGCAGAATTTTCACAGTTTATGAAACACCACGGGCCCATTTCTCTTAAGTACCGATAATAAACGGGCCCGGGAAACAGTTGTTATGAACAGTTAAGATCGAGGTTTCATGAGTTTTCGCTTTTTAGTGTTCTTTACATTTTCATTTGAAAATGTTTTATTTGGTTTCGGGCCTGAAACGTTCCCGGGAATTTTGAGAAAGGGGCCAAAGAAGAGGAGAGTTTGGAAATAGTTTTCTTCAGTGGGAAGTTTTCTTTTCATTCATCTAATAATGTTTTGGTTGTTAGTTTGTTTTTTTTACACAAATAGTACCAGTAGAAACGCTCTGAAGTCTAAAGTAAATGATGCAACTATAAAAAGTTGTCAAAAGTTTATCTTCTTATTGTTGTTTGACAATAAATTTTACTTCGGGCTGAAACAGTCACTCTCTTTGTCTTTCCCAGCCACGCGCGCAGAGGTCAGACTCAAGTAGATTAAGGCCTCGGTCTACGTCAGTTATAGTTTTTATGCACATATTCCAAAAAACCATTGTTAAAGACAACAACTGATAATAACAAAATCAACAGTCCCAAAAAACTGTAACGCAGTGGAAGAACAATCCCCAGCATGCCCTGTGTCAAAATGAAAAGGTGTTCAACAACAGAGCAGCATTAAAGAAAGTATTCCGGCTTTAATATCCATGTAATATCCATTGCAAAAAAAAACAAATAACAAATAACCAAACACTAAGGTAAAGAAAATAATATACAAAATATTTCATTCAGACATTCCGAAAGCTAACTACAATACCTATAGAAAAAATTACTAAATATGGTTATTCTTCCATACACAATATGCATTGAATTCTTACGGAAGTGCAGCCAAATCCCTATTAAGCAGTCAACCTCTTCTGTTTGGCGGTCACCTGCGAGAGTCGCTACTTCCCGAGAGTGACGTCTTAGTAGTCCCATGTTCTCAGTAAATTTCACAAATCGAAAAAATTCAGCCGTTCTGAACTATCATAAGTCGTGATCCTTATCAAACCAACCGGTTTTGTCGGATTTCTGTATCATGTTTTTTGTTGGTCTCGAGTTTTTGGATTTTCGTTACTATTTTCTGTCCAAAGCAAGCCGTGACAGGCGACGTTTGACGTCATAACATTGTGACCTTTCATACGGCCTCCGCGGAAACCGGCGGGAAAAGTCTTCACGCGTTAGTCGGGTCTGCTGCTTCTAGAGCTGAAATACACTTCATCATTATCTTGTTGACGTTATGATGAAACAAAAAAAGCTTTTTTGTACAACGTAATCTCAACTTTGCGTTGATGTATAGAAATAAAATCGAGTTTTATTCGTTCTTTGCCATTGAGTGGACTGCGAAATTTACTGAGAATATAGGACTGCCGGGAATTTAGTGTTTTGAAAACTTTGACCGGCAGTCGAGCTGAAAAAATTTCTAAGTGTCACAAAAAACGGTTTCGTCTTCTGAGCCCAGGGTAAACCAAACACTAGACTTGAGATCTATGAAGCATTTCAGGATCGCTTGACTTGCCTTAATCGACATATGATAGTCTAGATTAGCTGGAATCTTTCGATTTTGTGAAATTTACCGAGAATACAGGACTGCCGGCCATTTAGTGTTTTGAAAACCTTGACCAGTTACCGGCCATATAGCCACAGCGAAAGAATTAAGGTACGACTAGTCCGTTGAAATTAAATTTCCAGAATTGGCTGCAACAGGAACTTGACCGTAACTGGATCAAATAACATTTCATGATCTTCCGCAGGGTTTGTAGCCGCCAAAAATGCCACGCCTTCCAGTCGCCGGAGTTGGGTCCTGCCTATCATCATTATTTCATCAGCAATCGTCTTTGTGTCGATTTCGATAGCTGCGCACTTCTTTATAAAGAAAAAGCGCACCTATTCACCACATCGAGCGGGTGACCTTAAAGAAGGAATTATGAAGAGCAACAATCTTTTCATCAGTTACAGTTCAAAAGATGGTGCGTGGGTCAATGAAAATCTGATTCCCATTCTCGATAAACACTCAATATCCTACAGCATTCACACAAGAGATTTTAAGTTGGGAAAGCCCTTGTCCAAAACATGGCAGACAGCGTCTACAGCAGCCGCAAAGTTCTGATTGTCTTGTCTGACAACTATTTCGCCAGAAGCTTCTGTCGAGAAGAGCTGCACATGGCCGTCAAGCGGGAGAAAGACGCTGCAGACTCCTCACTGATTCTGGTGGTGTTCAGTAAGTTAAAGATACAGAGGTTGCCAAGGGCGTTGAAAAGCAAAAAGTGTTGGCTTGGTTTTGAGAAGCATAAGCGAGATTGGGAGAAGAAATTGTTGAGTGTTAAACTAGATAAAAAAGCTTCTTAATTTGTATACCAAACTGAATTTTAGTCTTAATACTAGATCTTAAGTAAGCGTAAGTGAGTGTCAGCAAGGCTCACAGCCAACCATGTTATTCATTTCTTTTAAAGGCGACTCTCTATCCTTCATGGATCAACGCCTCATAATTAAAAACACCAATGGAATTATATAGTTTCCTGTGAATAAAGCTTGGGTATCTTATCATACTAGGAATAACCAAAGATTAGTGAGTGCGCCGGGCGACAACGACCGAAGGTCCAAACGCTTCAGTTGCTCCTCGCTGTGCTTTGCGTACGTTTCGTGTGAGGAACTTACAGGAAAAACCGTGAAAATAATGTCTGTGATATACATGTACGATATACGGTTATTGAAATATCATATAAACCTTAGTGAACGTGAGTGGCAGTAAAATCCAGAGGAAAAGCAAGCAAAACCTTTAACATGTATTATTATTCATTCAAAATATTTCCCCGATTCTGATTGACTAAAAGCACAAGCATAATTCACCATAATCAGCTACTGATGACCAAATTCGGAAGAATTTTGCGATTAATCAACCGATGACGTCAAAAGTGCAGCTCCTTTGCTGGTTAATGCACCGTTAACCCAGAAGACCTGTAAAGCAGCGAGGTTGAGTTGTTTTAATTGTGAAAACAAAAATGGCGAACATTTCACTCGTTTCAAGACTGTGTAATAACTAGGCGAAATAATAGCTAAAAACATGGCAAATCAGCAAGAAGACAACTCGAAGGGCGACATCTGCTATTTGGAGAATATTTGCGGAGCGAACAACCCTAAACGTGCAATATCAAAGATGATGATGTTTTTATAGTAGGAATTAGTTTGAATGAATAATAAAACAATTATTGAATTCGGCTTTCGTATCATATGAAGAACTATGGAGATCTCGACGCGGACAACACCCTCCTCGATCTCCATAATTCTTCATAAGATACTCAGCCTCATTCATTGATTGTTAATTAAGGTTCCTCAGTCAGTCCTAGCAGCACGCTTTTAACTGTGGTACAGACACGGATGCTTTGTCATACAACTGTAACTTATACAACTAATCTATTTAATGCAAGTGATTTAAGAGCTCAACTTAAAATTATTACAAAACTTCTGTGTGAATAAAGTTTAACTTGGTAAAAAAAAAAAACGATCGGCTGTGGGCGTTTTTCCCAAAGGGTCTGGTCAATTTGTATGTTCTAAGACATTGAAGACATTTAATTGCTTTGATATCGCTCTAATTGCATAAAGCAGAAGGCGAAACGGCCTTAAATTTCTCTTTCGTCAAAAAAGGTACCATTCTGTAATTGGTGTCATTAGTCATATTGAATACGTTGAGAACCCGTTCATGTCGTACAAGTTGTGAAATAAAAAAGACCTCTGGCCCCATCTTAGAATGAAAGCGAGCCTTAGTACGCATGAATTACCACGGGCAAAAGTGGTAAAAGTTGTTGCATGCAAAGATTTTGTGACGAAACGGTATGCATGATTTATTGCCGGTTCATGATACGGTATGTATGATTTATTGCCGGTCCATGACACGGTATGTATGATGTATTGCCGGTCCATGACACGGTATGTATGATGTATTGCCGGTCCATGATACGGTATGCATGATTTATTGCCGGTCCATGACACGGTATGCATGATTTATTGCCGGTCCATGATACGGTATGTATGATTTATTGCCCGTCCATGATACGGTATGCATGATTTATTGCCCGTCCATGACACGGTATGTATGATTTGTTGCCCGTCCATGACACGGTATGTATGATTTATTGCCGGTCCATGACACGGTATGTATGATTTATTGCCCGTCCATGACACGGTATGCATTATTTATTGCCCGTCCATGATACGGTATGTATGATTTATTGCCGGTCGATTTAGTGAAAGATGTGGTGGTTATAACTCAGAATTGGAGCGAATGTACAGCAGTTTATTAAGGTATTTCATTCGTAAAGCTGAAATTTCGAATGTAAAGCTGGAAAATCTAGATGTAGCCATTCAATAGGTTTATTGTATTTATTGGTGGAATTTCCAAAGGTCAAATCTCAAAACCGTGCCTGCAATTCAGAGCGAAACATCGCATCCACGGACATGGCATCTGCTCAGAGAGGGACGTTTCCTTGACACAACCAGGAACCTAGTAAATTACACTGAAAGTGGTCACACAAACATTCGTAAGCTTGGACATAGAGCTCTTTTATTGAAGTTTGCCTGAAATGCAAACTGCTCAGGCTTTGAAATCCTCATCGTACACCTCGCGCTCCCATTATGCGCCTGTTAAATAAATTTCTTTGAGGGTACTTTCCAAGACTCGTTAACTACTTCATTTAAAGCCCTACCCGCAAAAGTAAGGCGGTTTCAGATTTTAATACTTTTTAAAATAATCATTTACAATATTTTAAAGAGAAAATAGTATGCGCTTAAGTTGAAACTCACGTTGTCTTGATAAGGTTTCTTAGTTATAGTTACTCACCAGTATTTAAAGTATTTTTAGATCAGTTTACAGTTTATTGTGTTTTTAAGGGCATTATGTAAACAGTTTAGCTTTTGTAGTAATTAACGTTATGTAAGTAGTTAGTTTTAGTTAGTATCATGACAGATGTAAAAGCTACCATGCAGAAATACTGTCAATAAAATTAATGGTTGTTAATATTTACAATGATTATTCATTATGATTGTTCTCGGATATCCGAAGATAAAAAGAGCCGAATTTCTGACTAAAACTAAAGGGAAGAAAAGCAAGAATACGCAAAACATATATTATCTGTTTTACTATACGGAGTATCTTCAAGAAAAAAGTCTCTTTTAGACGCAACAGGCAAAAAAATAGGACGAGGAGATATGCTCGTTAAGAATAGAAATATTTTGGATGAGTAATAAAACAATTGTTAAATTCAGCTGTATGCTGTGAAGGATAATGCCGATCTGGAGGCTATTATCGACATCAGCCTTTCGGCATTCTCCTCGATCTGCAGATTTCTCATAATATCTTAAGATTTTTGGCCTCATTCAATACCCAGAGGGTACTCCCTTATATAAGCCATATTGGTATGTGCTGTCCCAAAGGGTATGGTTTTGCCCGGTTTCGTCCCGAAAACTGTTATAGATCTTGCCCAGTCGGGTAAGGTTTTTGAGGGGAACTGGGGGAGTGTATGAACGTAGTTATCGTTTCAGTTCCAAATGAAAAGGAAAGAAACAGAAATATGCGAATTGAAATGGATTTTAAGAAATATTTTTGTTTATGTTCTAATCTAAGTAATGATGGTATATTTCTTAGAGGCAAGGTCTGAAAATGGATGTAAAAAATAACATTTTTTGACCTGAAATGGGGTCAGGATTTGGGGAACCAGGCGGCACACCCCATAATGAATTGCCGGGAGTACACCCCCAGATTCAATAGTTGGTAATTACAGTAAACACCCGCTAATAAGAACGCGCAGAAAGAACCTCCTGGCAGAAATTTCCCGCCTTAATACCTCAAAATACAACCACCTGTTTAGCCAAGCAAGATCAAACAGCCTTATAGATGGTTATTATGATAAACAATCTAACCACGGAGTGTAACTATAAATTGTAAATTTAAGTATAACAACAATAATATACTGTACTAAGGGTTATAATAATAAAATTGTGAAAACATTAAAAAAATTATTTAAAAATATTTTTTTTGGTAATCAACAATCTACTACCCGCCTTCATAAAAATTAGTCTAAATTGCTAATAAGTACCCGAAAATAAAGGAACCTATTTTGCCAGACTTAAAACAAGTAAAGCTGAACATGTTCTTATTATGGGTGTTTACTGTACTAATATTTTGCTGCTAAACAGTAGTTCACAAAAACAGTAGTTTTCCTGTCTGCTGCGCATGCACTCTAAGCCTTGTTCGTGTTATCAGTGGTTCCACATCAAAAGATAAACAGTTCTCACCGCGCTCGTGGCGTTAATTTAAATTTGTTGTGGTACGCACATATAGTATCTTCCACCTTACAGTTACTATTTTTTAGGAAAATGTTAGCATTTAGTCACGGAAACGTTGCCTCGTTCAGGTCTTTTGGCTGCCTGTTTTTATTTCCATGTTACGTCTTGCATTTCATGCAGGTTAGTATGCATCATTGTTTCCAATTCTCAGTGGATGGCTGCTTTCTCTTATCAAAAGAATTTGGATAGCCCAGAATTCGAGTTACTAGGGGTTAAATATCTACTATTTTGGAGATAAAAGATTGTGTTGAACGGAGAATTGGGTATGCAATTTCTTGCACGCCACCCATGGGAATCAACTCAACTGTGACAACAGACTGAACTCACTGGCTAGGCGAGGTCACACGTACAAGTGAGTTAAATCAAGTTAAGCTCTTTTTAACCGGTACCATTTTGCAACCGATCTGTGTATACCTTCCACATAGCTGTCTATGGACCTACGTGAGTAATGATGCCAACAATGCAGGATTTCAGTTTATGAATTTCTTCCTGCATGAAAAGGCACTCACTGAATGTCTTTCATCGGGAATATAGAGACCCTGAGGCGGAATTGTGTCCCACATCTCAATGTCGTTTTTGACGAATGGTCTTTGCGAGCATTCGCGAGAATGCCGAGCACTGCGATTTTTTTGCGAGCACGAGCAGAAATTAAAAATTTGCTTTGCGAGCTGGCGAGCAACGCAAAAATTTGGGGAGCACGAGCAAGCGAGCACTCGTTTAAATTCTGCGAGCAAATCGAGCAAACGTAAAATTTTGCGAGAAGTTAAA